TTGCGAGAGGGCCACGGGGTTGTTAGGACCGAATTTCAGCCCCAGCATCTACCATAACTGTCATTTGTTGTCCCCCTATCTTGGTTCTGACCACAGCTTCCGGGGCCGAGAGTGGGGACCCGGCGGCCCTGCTCGGAGTCCATGCCAGCGAGCCCTGTCGGGCCTGGGCCTCCGACCCGGTGAGCGGCCTCACACGGAGCCCCTTCTCGCAGGTCCTCTGGTTCCGGCCGGGATCCGGTCCCGCAGCCACCCCCTGGGCCGTCCAGGATCCTCGTGCTGGCAAGTGTGGACAGGAGTGGCCGGCATCTTCCCAGGTCGCCGGTGGGTCTGAAAGATGGACTCTGGGAGGTCGCTGAGGGCCTGTGGCCTCCCCGAATATGACGGGCGCGGTGCTCCATTCAGGAGTGGCGTGGACAAGGGCTGGTAGTACAGGCGTGCTGGCCCGGCTGGGGTGCCGTGTCCCGGACCTGAATGGGTCCTTGGCCTTCACGCGGGCCGTCTGAAGGGTAGGGCGGGCGGACCGCAGCCCGCGCGAGGGGGTCTCTTCTGCCTGGGGCGACTCCCTGGGGCTTCTCCCGGGGCGGCTCACGCATGGCGGGCTCACGCTCCCGGAGAGGGCGCTGGGGGCGCCGGGAGGGGCGGCAGTGGGAGTGCATGTCGGTGGGTCTTCCGTGGAGTCGCCCTGGCCCATGGGCATCCTCTTGGGGGCGCGTGCCTTTCGAGCTACCAGCACCCTGCTCTGCCCCTTATCAACGCAGAACCGCGCCCAAGGGGGTGGCGTTTGGGCGTCTCCAGCCCAGAGTCTATGTAAGGGACTTGGTCTGGATGTCCGGGTTCCCGTGACACTCGCCGCACGGCCTGGACTTTTGGCAGGTGGAGAGTGCCTTCGCAGGCCATCCTGCTCCGGAGGGGGGCCACGCTATCCCGCACAGGGTGTAGCCGGCCCGCGTCACGCTCACTCCATAATCCCCTTAAAATCCCTTCTTGAAAGTTCGTATCTTGCACTTTAGAACTGCAGGTTTTGACTCGGACCTGCCGGACCGTAACTGGCCCTCTACACCCCTGTACGCCCCTGTGCGCCCCTCTACATCACTCTGCGCCGACAGTGCCCTCCCTTCCTTCCTGCTGTGCCTGGCCCCCCGCCCCTCCCGTCATGAACGGAGTCTCCGGACAGACAAGGGGTGGGGGCTCCACTCGGTGTCTGCCTGGCTGCGTCCCTCGCGGGAGCGTAGGCGCGTCCGGCCAAGGCGCGCCCGCATAAGCCCCGGCTCGGGACACGGGGAGTGCATCGCCGTTAGCCGCCCGCACCGCCGCAGAACCGCAGGGCGGGGCCCGCTCACGCCCGTCGCGAAGCCGTGGGCTACAGACTCCGCCCGCAAGCAGTCACCGAGGTGCTCCCACTCGCGCGTGCACACAGCGGTTACACGTTCCCACCCACGGGCGCCCTGACTCTCGGGAGGTGACCCAGCTCCTCTCCCGCCGAACCCGTGGCCTGCCAGGGTCGGTCCGGGACCTCGCCTTGCCAGACGTCCTGCTTGCTTCTCAGCTAGTCGCGTCTCCACTGGTCGGGGAGACCCTGGTGCGCGTCTCCACCATGTCCGGGGAGACCCTGGTGCGCGTCTCTACCGTGTCGGGGAGACCCTGGTCCGCGTCTCCACTAGTCGGGGAGACCCTGGTGCGCGTCTCCACTGTGTCCGGGAGACCCTGGTGCGCGTCTCCACTGTGTCGGGGAGACCCTGGTGCGCGTCTCCACTGTGCCCGGGGAGACCCTGGTGCGCGTCTCCACTGTGTCCGGGAGACCCTGGTGCGCGTCTCCACTGTGTCGGGGAGACCCTGGTGCGCGTCTCCACTGTGCCCGGGGAGTCCCTGGTGCGCGTCTCCACTGTGTCGGGGATACCCTGGTCCGCGTCTCCACTGTGCCCGGGGAGACCCTGGTGCGCGTCTCCACTGTGCCCGCGGATACCCTGGTGCGCGTCTCCACTGTGCCCGCGGATACCCTGGTGCGCGTCTCCACTGTGCCCGCGGATACCCTGGTGCGCGTCTCCACTGTGCCCGCGGATACCCTGGTGCGCGTCTCCACTGTGCCCGGGAAGACCCTGGTGCGCGTCTCCACCGCGTCTCCACTGTGTCGGGGAGACCCTGGTGCGCGTCTCCACCGCGTCTCCACTGTGTCGGGGAGACCGCAGCCCGGCGGCGGCTGGAGGTCCCGCAAAGGGCAGTTCGGCCGGCTCGGCTCTGTCGGGGAGGTCCCGCCGCCCGCCGTGCCCCTCCTGAACCGTGGCTCCACGGGCCAGCGTGGTCGGGTTTCCCGGTCAGGGAACCAAAATGTTCCCGCAAGTGCGAACAGCTCCTGGCCCAAGAAAAACCCGAGCGGCACACGGAGGGCTGGAGAGGCAGCTTCATTTCGCCGGCGGGCTCAGAGAGGCACATCTGCCACCAGACTCTGAGCGCCCCGCTTCCGTTTCCTTTTAGTTTGATACCTTTTTGGGGGTTACAGTTAGCCAATGGCAAGTTTTCGAAAAAGTTACTTCATTTACATAGTAGTCAGCCAATGAGAAGTATGTCCCAAAAGTTACTTCATTTACATGGTAGTCAGCCAATCAGGAGTACGTCCCAAATCACCTCATCAGCTGTATTAGTAGCTGCTCAATTTAGGAGCGGGATAAGCGAAAGAGGCGGGTTTTGGTGGAACGCCCTGACACACCTCTGCCATTAGGTCTCTATCTTCTTCTTCACTACTCACTGCTAATTTTACTTGTTTATTTCCCACACAGAATGCATGATACAGTCATTTTGGTGATACTTTATTCCTATTGTCTGGTTATATGGAATTTCTTTTTTACATTCATGCACATTTTCTGTATAATTTCATTGTAATTTACAAATATCTACATGTTCTATCCTTAAATTCTCCAGGTGGTTATTAATGAAGTAGAAATGTAGCAATCTTTAATTATTTCTTATAAATTTTCAATTTTCTTCTCCCAAGTTTCCCGTTAGCCAAATATTTATTTCTTCAGAATGACAGCAGAGCTATATACAGGGCTGTCCTCCGGCATTCAGCATACCTTTGTAACTAGCAAGAGGCATTAGAGGGGGAATATCAATGCGAGGCAAGGAACAGGACTTGTTCCTGCCATCTTTGTTCAAAATGTCTCTGGCCTGGATGGGGATGGTGTGTGGCCCACTTGGCTACATACAAAATAGCTGCTCACACGACTGGTGCCCTCTGGTGGCACCTAGGGAGACAGCTGCGGGAGAGCTTTAATTGTGTCACCACACCTAGGGGCCTGACGATCTCCTGGCTCCTATTTTGTTAATCCTGTATAGGCTTGATCCTTGCTTTTTCTTCCCTTTATTTTCCCTTTCTAAGAAATCTATAGGAGAAACTCAAGGATGATGATGGTATCAGCATTATGACTTGTGACATAAGGTTTGATTTAGTCACAAGAGAATGTCAGTGGCTCTTGCAAGAGGATTATGAGCACACAATTGCCATTTGTCCTAACAATAAAACTTGAGCAGGAACGCATGCTGAGAGCTTTTGCTCCACTGCAAGAAAATTTCCAATCGCTGTGATAATTGATAAATGGTAACTAAGGGCAACTGTGAAATATTCTGTACAAGCTGTTAACATTAGGGTCAAATAACATCTTTTAAATATAATGTAAATTTGATTCTGTCTGAAGTTAGAGAAGACAAAGATGATCACTCGGATTCCTCTCTATTCACAAATTCTGAGTCTTATGTGTGAACATTACAAATATTTTTAAAAAGAAGTCAATATAATATTTATCTGCCATAAGTGCATCAGTATCTGTAGCAATATTTCACGTAATGTTGCTCTGTGGTCTGAAAAGGTCTATGGCTTCTCTAAACATGTCTGACTTCTGTCAATCCAGCTCAAAACTGTACATTTGATATCACCTGAATATATTAAATACTTTCTCAGAACTGGAGGAAACATCAAAACTCAGTGATCCCAACCCTGTGCTCAGACATGGACATTCTCTACAATGGTTCTACATGGCAGAGAGTAAAGAAGGAATGCAATATCTTCCCCAGAGAACATGTGTTCACAATAATCACAACTGTTTATGTGTGTTTTTAGCCATGACCTTTGATTTATAAAAATATTTTAATAACATTGAAAGAAGACATGAAATATTTTTGTCACTCAAAATGGGGGCAAGAGCTGATAAACACTGACAAATATAATGCTCTACCAGGTCCTACTTATGTTTTTATCTGTCTTCCTAATCACCACAGTGATAGAGAACTCACTACCTCAAAAATTGGTAACTTTGAGGCAGCTCTTATTATTGTCAAGGTTTGGGTTGGGGTTTTGTTTTCCCCCTAATGTAAAAACAAAACAAAGCAAAACACACACAAAATCTATTGTTTCTCTTTAGGTCATACTTTTTCTCTTCCAGACCAAACATCCTCAGTTCATCAGACCAAACTCCTATGTCATCTTTTATAGAAAAATTCTCATCCTAGATGCTCTCCTTTAATGATCTCATCCTTTAACTTTTCCCCTAAAGTCTAGAACATAATTCTTCAGCCTGGGTGTGGCCAGTGCAGCACAGTGGCTGTCTCTTCCCCACACCTTAACATGCTATTTTCAGTGATACAACTTGGAAGTACAAGTTTCACTTTTTTCCCCCATAGCCACAGTACATTATTGACCTGCACTGACCTTTTGTTGTAAATGCTGTTCAGTCGTGTTTGTCAAAGCAATTGGCAAAGTGCGCATCTGTTCTTGTACTTAATCTGTCATCCCAAAGGCTGTCTGGGTTTTCCATAGTGAAGTAACAAATGCTAACGTATGCACAATGGACCAATGTGATGATTGCCAGGAGACAGAACCCAGTTGACAGAAGTTAGTCAGACATATACTTAACTCTCCCAAGAAGCTGTTCTTTCAAACATGTCAGCAATTAGGGAAGGAATTACTCTGCTGGTGACATTCCACCAAGTAACAGTCACGAAGGACTTACCTGCCGCGACAATGATAATGTCTGCCAGCTGAGTATGGATCTTCAACTGTTCTTTGGGGGTGTATCTGTGAGTTATTGTCACAGTTGCATCACCTGGAATACATAAGAATTTCCATTAATAATTACTGAGCTTTTTCAAATTTTACAAACGCTCTAAACCTAGAAGAGTTTCAGTTATTTCCTAAGAGTAGAAAAGTTGTTTTGACATGACTAATCGCTTTGAGAGCAAAAGATAGGTAAGGAAATCTCCTTGAATCAAAATATTGTACCCTGCAAGCAAATGCATGGAAAACCAAATGAGACCAAATGAGGGTAAGTGCTGACTATCATAGGAAAGCTGTAAGCAGGGTCCTAGAAACCCAAGATTTAAAATTCTGTATTGACTAGCTAATACATTGATGTAGGGGTTACTCATTGGCTTGATAATGACAGACAAATAAATACTGTAAGCCACACGGCAAGTGCACTGAAAATGGGGCAACATAGTGTGGGAGTATAGGTAAAAGGTTGATTTTGTCTGGGGGAGGTGTCAAGGAAGGGATCCTAAAGGAAGCAATATATATTTTTTAGGTCTTAAAGCATGAGTAGAAGTATACTATTCAGGGAAAGAAGAAAAGGGCATTTCAAAAGCTCAAAGAATAGCAGAAGAAACATGAACCAACTTTGAAATGATGTGTTTAGAAAAAAGTGAAGAGGTCTAGTATTTAACAGGAAGTGTATGCATGAAAACTTTAAAGGAGTGATGGTTGAGTAAGAGAGGCAAGCAGCCTGAAAGATACCAATGTTTAAAGCGGGAGCCAATGAAGAGGAGTGGGAGAAAGGTGGTGATGAGCTGCAGTCAAGAGAAGGGTTTGGTAACCATGGCTATGTGAGACTCTGTTCTCTCTTCTCCTCCTGGAAGATGTGCAAATGCTACACAGTTAACAACAACAAAAATTGCAAAATCTCCATTTTTAGAGAAAACTAGAAAACATATTTTCTACAGACTCCAAAAACATGTAAGAGTTTTCAAAAGCAGCAGGTAGTGAGTATCACATAGGGAGAAAGGCAGCAAAGAAGTGCAGACAATGACAAGATGGCCAGCAGCAGCAGCGTTCTGAAAATGACAACAAAAACATACTTCCTGAAGGTGAAGCATTCACCACAAGTGCAAAAAATATAGTTTTCTTAATCGAGGCAGAGAGAACAGAAATAAAGGCAGGGTAGCCTTGTTGGACCCAGCAGAGTTGAAAGTGGGTGCTGACACATCCACAGAGAAGACCTATCTCGGCAGAGAGCGGCCTGACTCTCTAAAAGCAGCAAGGAGCTAGAAGACACCTCCTCCCTAACTCCCAGCGGAAGTGTCCTGTAAACAGGAGATCCAAGAAATTCAACTCATTCAATAATAAGTAATAAAAATGAAGGTGACACAGCAACAATAAAAGGGTACTATCAGGCCCAACCCAGGGGAATTTAGGGGTGCATTTTGGAATGAAGGTGTTTTGGTTCTAGTGATAACTAGTTATCTAATAGATGCTTATATGCATTTGTCTAAACTAATGAAATTGCACATCAAAAAGAGTGACTTGTACTATATACAAGTTTTTAAAAATTAAAAGATACATTTAAAAAGTGGCAGAATCAAGAAAAAACCAGGCAAAGCAAAAGCAAAACAAAAATTTAAAGGATTTACCAACATATCAATAAACAACAAAAAATGTTGTCATCAAAAAGTTGAATGTTATGGCAAGACATTTTACCAAAATTTTTAAAAATTAGAACTTCAGGTTATAAAAAATGGGGGGAAAAAGAATTGAATCCATACAAATTGAACTATAATGGTCCACACTGAGACATATTTTAGTAAAGTTCCTGGATTTTAAAGATAAAACAAGAATCCTATTAGTCCCAGACAAAAATTCAGATCTCTGCATTCAATCCCAGAAACTAACAAAGCAGTATCTATAAGTGACTCATAAAAAAAATTGGGAGTGTAGGATTTTGTATCCAGTCAATTGCCTCCAAGAGAAAAAGCTGTAAACAATTTCGAAAATGCAAGAATTCAGGAAATTTTATTCTTATAAGTTTTTCCTGAGGAACGTGAAATCAATGACAAAGGAACTACATGGAAGAATAATGAAACAAAAAGTTGGTTCTTTGGAAAGATAAACAAAATTGATGGGCCTTTTGCTAGGTTATCCAGAAGCAGGAAAAAAAAATCTAACAAGCTCAATCATGAATGAAAAAGGAGAAATTACAACTGGAAATTACCATGGAAATAAAAAATATCATCTCTGAATGCTATCAAAATCTCTATGCACATAAACTTGAAAACTTGGAGGAAATGGACAAATTCTTAGAAACACATGGCCTCCCTAAGCTCAATCAGGAAGAAATAGAATTCCTCAACAGACTAATACCAAGTACTGGAATTGAAGCAGCAATAAAAAATCTTCCAAAAAAAAAAAGTCCCAGATCAGTTGGTTTCACACCTGAATTTTGCCAGACCTACAAAGAGAAAATTGTACCTAAACCACAGAAATTATTCCACAACACTAAGAAAGAAGGACTCTTCCCCAACATATTTTACTAAGCCAACATTACCTGGATACCAAAGCCAGGAAAAGACTAAGCAAGAAAGAGAAAAATACAGACCAATATCACTTATGAATATAGATGTAAAAATTCTCAATAAAATCCTAGCAAACTAAATTGAGTTGCTCATCAAAAAAAATAAGCCATCATGACCAAGTGGGCTTTATCCCAGAGATGCAGGGATAACCATCATATAAAAACCAACATATAAAAATCTATAAATATAATTCACCACATAAACAGAAGTAAAAACAAAGACCATATGATCCTCTCAATAGACACAGAAAAAGTATTTGACAAAACTCAGCACCCTTTTATTATAAGAATGCTTAACAAAATAGGCATAGATGGGACTTACCTCATAATGATAAAATCCTTGCACAACAAACTCACAGCCAAATAATACTGAATAGGGAAAAATTGAAAGCATTCCCACTTAGAACTGGAACAAGACAAGGTTGCCCTGTATCACCACTTCTATTCAACATAGTGCTGGAAGTCCTACCCAGAGCAATCAGTCAAAAAAAGGAAATCAAGGGCATCCACATGGGAGCAGAAGAGGTGAAATTATCAATCTTTGCTGATGATTAGATCTTATACCTAGAAGACCCCAAAGATTCTCCCAAGAACTACTGAAATTGATAAATAAATTCAGCAAAGTCTAAGGTTACAAAATCAATATACACAAATCAGTAACATTCATATATGCCAACAATAGTCAACCTGAGAACCAAATCAAAGAACTTTCGCAGTAGCAACAAAGAAAATGAAATACCTAGGAATATATTTAACTAAGGACGTAAAAGACCTCTACAGGGAGAACTACGAAACACTGAGGAAGGAAACAGCTAAAGATGTAAATAGGTGGAAATGTATACCATGCTCATGGGTTGGGCAGAATTGATATTGTTAAAATGTCTATACTACACAAAGTGATCTACAGATTCAATGCAATCCCTATTAAAATATCAACATCATTATTCACAGATCTAGAAAAAATAATTCTATGCTTCTTATGGTACCAGAGTAGACCCCATATAGCCAAAGCAATCTTAAGCAAAAAAAACAAAACAAAACAAAACAAATTAGAAGGCATCAATTTACCAGACTTCAAGCTATACTACAAGGAAATAGTAATCAAAACAGCATGGAATTGACAGAAGAACGGAGACACAGACCAATTGAACAGAACTGAAAACCCAAATATAAAACCATCCTTGTATTGCCTTCTCATCTTTGACAAAGGAGACAAAAACATACACTAGCAAAAAGAATCCTATTCAATAAATGGTGCTGGAAAAATTGGATAGCCACATGTAGAAGCCTGAAACGGGATCCACACCTCTCACCTCTCACAAAAATCAACTCATGATGGATAACAGACTTAAACCTAAAGCATGAAACCATAAAAATTCTAGAAGAAAATTTTGGAAAAACTCTTATAAACATTGCCCTGAGCAAAGAATTTATGAAGATGACCCCAAAAGCAATCACAGGAACAATAGAAATAAATAAATTGGGACTTGATCAAATTAAAGAGCTCCTACACAGCCAAGGAAACTATCATGAGAGCAAATAGACAACCTACAGAATGGGATAAAATATTTGCATGCTATACATCCACCAATGGCCTGATAACTATAATACAATCTATATAGAACTCAGGAAAATCAGCAAAAAAAAAAAAAATCAAACAACCCCATGAAAAGTGGGCAAAGGACATGAACAGAAACTTTTCAAAAGAAGATACAAACATATGAAAAAATGCTAAAGATCTCCAATCATCAGGGAAATGCAAATCAAAACAACAGTGAGATAATCACTTAACTCCAGTGAGAAGGAATTATCATAAATTCCAAAACAACAAATGTTGGTGTGGATACAGAGAGATATGAACACTCATACGCTGCTGGTGGAACTGCAAACTAGTATAACCTCTATGGTAAGTAGTATGGAGATACCTCAAAGCACTAAAAGTAGAACTACTGTTTGATCCAGCAATCCCACTATTGGGTATTTACCCAAAGGAAAAAAAAGACATTCTATAAAGAGACACCTGATCAACACTTAAGTGCACATATAGTAATAACATTCATGGGGTGTCAGGCAGATGGGAGGGGGCAGGAGGGGATGAGTATATTCACACCTAATGGGTGCAATGTGCACCGTCTGGGCCATGGACACACTTGAAGCTCTGACTCTGGTGGGGCAAGGGCAATATGCGTAAGCTAAACATTTGTACCTCCATAATATGCTGAAATAAAAACAATTTTTAAAAAAATACACCTGCACTAGAATGTTTATAGCAACACAATTCACAGGTGCAAAGATGTGGAAACAACCTGAGTGCCCATCAATATATGAGTGGATTAATAAAATGTGGTATATGTACACTGTAGACTACTACTCGGCCACAAAACAAATTGGTGAGTTACCTCTTGTATTATCCTGGATGGAGCTGGAGCCCATTCTTCTAAGTGAAGTATTACAAGAATGGAAAAACAAACACCATGTACTCA